TCCACAGGGAAGTATCACTGGGAAATCTCATTATCCTGCAAGACTGAATCTGCCTGGCACTCAAATCTTATCAGTACCTTTTGACCCCCTGATTGGACTCCATGACTGGAGGACAGGGCCAAGGGTAACTTCATTTTTCTCCCCCTTTTTAGGTTTTCTTTTGTGTTGTCTTCTCCTATTAGATTCTAAACTACTTGGGGGCAGGGAGTATATTTGTTTTTATTTGTATTTGTATCCCCACAACTTAGCGTAGTGTCTGGTACTTAGTAGGTACTCAATACACTAGTTTATTAATTGGTTGCTGCAGTCTCCTTGCCAATATTTTTTTTAACATTTTGCATTATTATTCATTAGAGATATTGGTCTATAGTTTTCTTTCTTTATTTTGACTCTCTTTGGTTTAAGTATTAAGACCATATGTGTGTCATAGAAGGAAGTTGGTAGGCCCCTTCTTTTCTTATTTTTTTCTAAGAGAAAACTAAAGCCAAAGGTTTTAGGGTTGAGAGTTAAGGTCTAAAGCACAAAGAAAGGCAAGAGAATCTTATAATTACTACACACTTTACAAATGGAGCCAAGTGACACTCATGAAAGGAAGATGAGATTGGAGAAACCTACTGTAAGCAGGGAAGATAAGAGAGTTCATTTTTTTCTTTTTCTTTGGCTACTGACCTCATTTGATAGAATTTTTTTTTAAATACTAACCCAAACTTTAAAAACCCACAATATAGTGGGGATAATCATTGTAAACTATGATAAAATTGCCAAAGGTATCTAGAATCACTTGGGAGAACTATGAATCAGAGATTATTTTAAAAATCAATTAAATTGCTAAAAAAATGATTGAAGAATCAGTTAAAGATAGATCACCTCACTGACTAGCACTAGATATTTTTTCCATTATCTACTTCTCCCCCTTTCCTTTCACAACTGTCCAATGTCAGTTATAACCAGGGAGTAAGAATTGTGCATTGAAAAATGTATTAATTATTGAATTTAGGAATGAAGGAAAATAGATTTAGAGCTGAAAGGGATCTAAATTTGATCTGGTCCATCTCTATCATTTCATAGATGAAGAAGGCCAATGAAATGAAATGACTTGTCCGAAATTAAGCAGGTGACAGGACTTGTGTCTATAAATCCAGCTTTCTCTGAAAAACCTGAAGAAAAGAGTTGGAACTCTGAAGCATCAACAAGGTAATGTCTGTATAAAGAATGTGAGACAGAACTAGGAGTCCTGGTCTGAGACTCTGCCTATCACTGTGTGACCTTGGGGAAACCATTTCATTTTTTGTTGGTCTCATGAAAAACGAGGGGAATTGGTCAAAACAATCTCCAATGTTCCTTCTTGCTCCAACATTCCATGTAATGAGAAATATTACTTACTCATCAAATATCAAAAAGGCAAGACTGAAAATAAAAGGAAGTATTGACACAGAAACAAGGCACAAAGAATAGACAAAACATTTCTAAATTTACATTAGATGACAGACATAAGCCTGATAACACAATCGAATTTTCTCTTGGTCTGACCCAATACAACAATGATCTCCAAATAATCAAGGTTGCAGGAAACCTGAATGGCAATGGAAATGATTGCAGAACATTTCCAACCATGATCTCTGTGTTTGAAGGAGGGTAAGGGAGAGTGCAACAGCTGATTCAACAAACAATTAAGTGTTAAACCTACTCTGTAAGAGGCACTGGGAACACAAAGATAACAAGAAAAAACAGTCCTGGCTCTCAGGAAATGCACATCTGAAAAAGGTGAAGGGCTGGTTATACAGTAAGTTTAACATACAGACAGGATGGTGATATCACAGGATGAAAGAAATTTTAGAAAGGCCTAGATTAAGGCCTTCAGCACATTGAATAGACCCCATGTGGGAGATCTATGGGAGAACAGGAACAAGAACTGCAGAGGAGGAGAAGTTGTGGATGGTGTGTGGGCAATATATGCAGGGAATACCCACAATGGTGAAATCATGGATGTACTAAAGGATTGGCTCAATGCCAGTATGTCTTCATGTGTCACTGACACTGTAATAGAGACTCTCAAAGCAGAGAAAATTATTCCTCAGATAACAAGGTCCACAATGTGGAATGGGCAACAATATGTATAATATAGTCTGAACCAGGAATAAACCTTAAAAGCAGGGCCCAGCAAAGGACTACATCTTTCATTCCAGGACCATCACAGCTAAATTTATAGAGGCTAATCCCAGGTTGATCACAGGGTGATAAATGTTCAACCATACAATTCAAGACCAAATGTAGGCCTAAAGAATTTGCAGCCTACTTTGGTGGAGGGAGTCTGTACACTGATGAACACCGATGACTTTCCCACTGTAATGACAATCTATCTGTAGTATTTGTGAGTGTTTAGATCATTCTTCAGTCAATTCAACAACGATAGCCTTTAGTCACTCCCTAGGGTTGTGAATGTGGAGTGTTCATAGGATCATAGCCTTAGACCTGGAAGCCTTAGCACTCATCTAATTCAATGCCTTATTTTATAGGTGAGAAAACGGTGCCTCTGAGAGTTGAAGTGATGAGCCAGATTCAGCACCAGTTAGAAAAACTGGGACCAGATCATTGAGTTCCCGACCCCTGGTCAGGATTTAAAAAAAAAAAAATTTAATCATGCTGTCTATATATGTTATTTCTTAGGGGCATTATGACTGGAAAGTGAGGGTGGTAGACACCCTCAGTAGTCCTACTGAATTCTTCAGAACAATCCTGCAGGGAGAGCTTTTTTTTTTCCCCTCTTAGGCAGTTGGGGTTAAATGACTTGCCCAGGGTCACACAGCTAGTATGTGTCAAGTGCTTGGTATGAAGCCGGATTTGAACTCAGGTCCTCCTGACTTCAGGGCCGGTGCTCTATCCACTGTGCCACCTAGCTGCCCCTAGGGAGAGCTTTCACTCTAGAATTTATAGTATTTATTTGTAAAAGACAAAATTTCTCTAATTCTGTTGAAGGCATAACCACCTTCTAGTGACCCAGTTTTACAACACTAGAGTCAATCCAGATTTTTTCTTCTTTACTCCTCTATATCCAACTAAGTTGATAATTTTTTCAATCATTTCTCTACTTCTCTCCAATCTGCCCTCTTCTCTCTACTTACAAGGCCAAGCTGTCTTTTCAGGTTCTAAATACTTCCTACCTGGACTGCTGATTTTCCAACTTATCCTTTACATAGCTGTCAAAATAATTTTAACATTCAAGTCTGACCATGTTACTCCCTGACTCAAGAAACTTCAGTGCTTCTCTTTCACCTTTGGGAAGAACTTCAAAGTCTTCAGATGGGCCCTTCAAAATCTAGCTTCAGTCTACCTTTTGGGACTTACTGAGCATTATGCCTTCATGGATACTCTTCATTTCAGACAAAATGGTCTATTTGCTATTCTCTTTAACATAGGACACCACCTCTCACCTCCCTGCCTTTGCCTAGGCTGCACTTCATGTCAGAATGCACTCCTTCCTCATCTCTACCTTAGAATTCCTAGCTCCCAAACAGTTCAGGGGCAGCTAGGTGGCACAGTGGATACAGCACCAGCCCTGGAGTCAGGAGGACCTTAGCTCAAATCCTGACTCAGACACCTAACACTCACGAGCTGTGTGACTCTAGGCAAGTCACTTAACCCCAAATGCCTCCCAAAAAAACCCAAAACAAAAATAAAAACTCAGTTCACATGCCATCTCCTACTTAATGCTAGTGCCTGCTCTCTGTTGATTATCTCCAGTTTATCTTGTATGTCTCCCCAGAATCAAAGTGAGCTTCTTGAGAGCAGGGACTTTTTTTTCTTCTAACTTTTCTTTGTATCCCTAGCACTTAGCACAGTGCCTAGCACGTAGAAACTTAATAAGAGCTTATTAACTGATTACTAGAAGCCTGACCCCCTCCACCAAATTATCCCACATCTACTTATTTACATGCTGTATCCTCCACTTCCTCCCCCCTTCCCATATCTCCTTGAGGGCAGAGATTGCTTTTTATTTTGTCTTTATCTCCAGCAACTAGCTCAGCACACGGCATGCAGCAGGAGTTTAAAAGAACCTTGCTGGAGTGACCTGAAAGGAAAACTGCCTTTGAGGGCCTTAGAGAAGGCCTTGGTGGTATGTAAGGATGAAGGGGAGAACGGTGGTTGTTTGGAGGAACAGCTACTGGCTACTGTCCAAGGAGAAGGCAGGCATGATACACACAGACGTAGGTATGTTTCATATATATATCTCTCTCTCTCTATATATAGATATATATACATACACACATATATGAAATGAATATGTGTGTATATATGTCCCATACCAATGGGCTTTGGGATTTGGGCTATATTAACATTTGTGTATGCATATGGATATGTATATTCGCATGCGCGTTATGCACATGTGTATTTCAGTACATGTGTACATACACGTATGCATGTATGTATGTACACATCTTTTTTGTTGCTGCTTTGTTTTTGAGGGAGGTATCTAGGAATGCTTCCCGGGCGAAGGTGGGACGGTCGTGGTTGGGCAGCTAAGCTCTGTGCCTTCGGTGGCGGGTGTCTACGCACGCCTGTCAAGAGGCCCGAGAAAACTGGTGCCTAGTTAAAGAAAAAGCACTTGCTAGCCTGGGGAGGGGGGCGGGGGAACGCTTGGGGGACTCCGTGGGGGGTCGGCGCGGGCACTGACCAGCGAGAATTCGGTACCGGGCCAGTTGACTCGGAAAGGGATGTCGTCACTGAGTGGAGGGAGCACTCGACCGCCCCCGGACGCCTCCAGGAGCCCGCAGAGGACCAGCAGCACCGGCGCACCCGGCACCAGCCTCCGTCCGCCGCCGCCGCCTCCTTCTTCCATCCTCCTCCGCTTCTTTCTCCAGCCGCCGCCGCCGCCGCCGCCGCCGTCGCTGCCTCCTTGGCCCATAGAGAGGAGGCGGAGGCGGCGGGACTAGAGATCGCCCAGCGAACGGGAGCCCCAACCGCCGCCACGTCTCCTTCCGGGGAGCCCCTCGAAACCGCCTTCACCTCTCTCACTTTCGTGCCGTCGTTTCCGGGACAAACGGCCTATCAACATCCGGGTCCGCCTACGGAGGCTGAGAGGTTTTTAGTCTCTCCTTCTCCGCCCCCTGAAACCCTGTGCAACCCGCTGGTCCTGGAGGGTCGCGGTTCTGGGCGCTGGGAGCAGGCACCCACCCTGCCAGCCATTTACCCTCCCCGCTTGGCCTTGGGGCTTGGGACCCCGAGAGGCCGAGATTCCAGCCCGGGAGCCCTAGACGGTAAGGAGGAGGCCGCAAAGCGGCGGCGCGTTCGTATTCGCAGCCGGTGAATTCCGCGTAATCCCCGGCCGACCTGCAGGCGCTCTCCCGGAGGGGCCCCTGTCTCTCCCGCCGTCGTCCCCGACTTCGCCGCAGCCCTTTTCTTCCCCGCTTCGGTTCCAGCTTCCCTTTGATTCTCTTTTATTCTCGAGGGGAGGGGAAAGGTTCAGAAAATTTAGGAAAAGTTAAGGGAAGGAGGACGTTGTCTGTCTGCTCAGGGTTCTCTCCTTGAGGGACAAAAATTCTTTTCCTCCTGCGAAGTCTAATGAATGATTGGTTGTTATTTTTGGTGGGCTCGTGCCTTAGGATCGTTCGTCCGCCCATACCCTGAAGTGGCTCTTCTAGAGGTTTTCCCCTGCCCCATCCTTCTCCTCCTCCTTCTCCTCCTCCTCCTACCCCTTTCCCCCCATGGCTCTTCGCTAAAGGCGTAGAATTTACATTCCCGGCGGTGACGAATGAGTTTGACTAGGATTCAGAAACCAAAATTAAATGGTTTGGCCTAAATATTGTTATCTGGTGCAGTGGAGAGAGCACTGATGGTCAGGAAGACCTAAATTCAAATCCAGCCTCAGACACTTAATCGCTGTGTGACTTTGGAAAAGTCATTTACCTGTTGATCATTTCCAATTCATCCCGTATATCACTTGTTTGTACATAGTTATGATATTGTCAAACCCGTTAGATCTTGAGCTCCTTGAAGGCAGTGACTGATTTTTTTTTTGCCTTTTTTTGGGGGTGTATCCCTAGTACTTAACACACCCACTGGCATTATATTTATTGCTGTTAGTCGTGTTTGACTCTTCTTGACCTCATTTGGGGTTTTCTTGGCAAAGATACTGGAGTGGTTTGCCATTTTTTTTCCAGCTCATATGAGGAAACTGAGTCAAACAGTGTTAAGGGACTTGCCAAGGGTCACACGGCTTGTCTGAGTCTGAGGCCAGATTTGAACTTATGTCTTCCTGACTTCAGGCTCGGTGCTCCATCCATTGTGCTGGCATATAGCAGTCCTGCTTAATATATCTTCACTTGATCGTGTCTAAATTTATTTCTGTGCAACTTTCACTCCTACTTACTACTGGACTTTGGGGAGAGAAGCAACACAAGTGTATGTGTACTCCATTACAAGCTTCGAAATCATTGAAGGCAGCTGTTTTATGTCCCTTCTTCCTGTTCCCTCCACTCTCATCTTCTCATTCGATAAGCATTTATTAAGTGCCTACTGCGTGGCAGGAACTGTGCTAAGTGCTGGGGATACAAAAAGTGACAAAAGACTGTCTATGCCCTCAAGGAGCTCACAATCTTATGGGGAGCCAACAAGCAAACAAATATGTACAAACAAACTATATACAGGATAACTAGGGAAAAAATTATAAGAGGAAAGACACTAGAATTAAGAGGGGCTGGGGAAGGCTTCTTGTAGAAATGTTTTTTGTTTCATGTGTATATAGCTTGTCTAGATTGTAATTTCCTTGAGTGTTGAGACTATATTGGATTTCTTTGGTGATACTTTCTTGCCCTTCTTCTTACCTTTTCCTTTTTTACTATGTTACCACAGCAGTTATTCCAGAAACGGAGTGGTTGACTGTTTAACCTAGATAAGTATATTTAAGAGATTCTCTTGACTAATTGGATTGTGAGTTATAGTTATTTAAATCCAGTCAATCAGCAAGCATTTATTGAACACTTGTGCCAAAACATTGTCCTAAGCTCTATGAATAGAAAGGTAAAACAGTTCTTGATCTCAAGGAGCTGACATTCTGGTGAGGGATACATCCTGTAAATAAATAGGTACATAAAAAATATACTGGGTGTCCCAAAAGTCAGAGTGCAGATTTAAAGTTTAAGTTTAAAACTGCACTAAGACCTTTAGGACACCCTGTATACAGAATAGGTGGAAGGCAGTGTCAGGGGAAGGCCCTTAGTAGAAGCTGGGATCTGAGCTAAATCTGAAAGGAAGCTACAAGGTGGCAGGAAGGAGGGAGAGAATTCCAGGCATAGGGGAGAGCCAGGACCAAGGCAGATGGAAGATGTAGTGTTGTGCTTGAGGAACATCAATTAAGCCAGTGTAGTCAGATGCTAACCAGCATGTAGGAAAGTGAAGTGTAAGAAGACTTAGAAATAGATTTCTGTAAGTATTATCTTTGCTGTGGCGTGTGCTCTCTCCTACTTGGATGTATATTATATATATTTATATTACATTAAATATAAACCCTTTTGTGTTTTTTCATGACTTAGAACTTTGTTAACATCAAGAAAGTCTTTATTAGTGACTACCACAAGCTGTCCTGAAATCAGGCAGAACTTAGGTATATACAAATATCCAACACAACGTATAGCTTAAACCCTTAGCTTCAAAAGGCCCACTGCATCCTGGGCCATCTCCACTCGTCCTGATCGATATCTGGCCCACTGGACCCCAATGGCTCTGGAGTAGAAAGTGAGGACGGTGACTTTGCACAGCCCTCCCTTACTCAAATCCAATTCAGTGCAAGTCATGTCATCATCTCCCAGATGTTATGGTCCTCTTTGAGAACAAAAGACAACCACAACCACACAATATAAAGAAATGCAAAAGACTCACGTGCATTGCAAACACTTAAAATATAAAACAATAAATCATTGTACCTTTTTACTTTCCTGGGAGGAGAAAACAACTTTGGTGGGCCTCCTGAAGAGGTATTTCACTTTTACCTCAGGCCTCTGCTATTTAAGCAACTCACAAAGTCCAGATCCTCAGGCCTGGCAGTCATGGTTTTCTAATTCCTTCATCTGTAGGATTATCTCTTTGGTGGTTATCTCCTCAGAAAAGCAATGTACTTGCAAAAAGTACTTGTAGTTGGGCAGCTGGCATCAACACAGGAATGTGGTAGATCTTGAACTCTCTAGGGAATTTTTTTCATTGCTCCTTCAATTTGCTTATGATGTGTACATTATGTAAGTTACGCATCCTTATGTATCCATTTGAAGTTTATTTTGGTATGTTGTGTTGGTTATTTGTAAAACCTAATTTCAGATTTCTTTCTGGTTTTCCCAGCATGTTTTTTTTTTTCCCCAAAATATTTATCCTAGCTGTTGGGGTATTTGTGCTTCTATGTTCATTTGCTGCTGTAGGGGTTATGTTTTTTATATGTTCTACTGATTGTCTTTTCTGTTTTTTTAACAAAGTACCAAGTAGTTTTGATGATTATTGTGTTGAAGTGTCCTTTGAAATCTTTGAGATTGTTAGGCTCCCCTTTCTTCTCCAATTTTTTTCATTATTTTCCTTGAGATTTTTGATCTTTCGTTTCTCTAGCTAAATTTTATTATTTTCCTAGTTCTATAAAGTAATCATTTAGTATTTTGATGGGTATGAATAATTAATTTTGGTAATATTGTCATCATAATTGTATTGGCATAGCCCTCTCATGAGCATTTAGTATTTCTCCAGTTATTTAGATCTATTTTTTTTCTGTAGAGTATTTTTTTGTTATATTCATATAGTTCCTGTATGTGTCTTGGTCGTTAAACTTCCAGATAGTTGTACATTCTCTACTATTTTGAATGGAATTTTTCTGTCTCTTCCTGATGGGTTTTGTTGGTAATATGCAGAAAGACTGATAACTTATCCGTTTTTATTTTGTATCCTGCAACTTTGTTGGTTATTGTTTCAGTTAATTTTTAATTGTTTCTTTAGCCAAAAAGCAGGGTTTTTTTCTTTGTCTTTTCTCATTCCTTTTCTTTTTGTTAACTTCTTGCTATAGCTAGCATTTCTAGAACAATATATAGATGCCTTCAATTTCTGTCCTCTCACTCTCTTGAATCTGGCTTCTGACTTCTTCATTCCAGCAAAACTGCTCTCTCCAAAGTTACCAGTTAATTGTCAAATCCAAAGACTTTTTTTCAGTCCTCATTCTCCTTGATCTCTCAGCAGCTTTTGACATTGTTGATCACCCTCTCTTTCTTGATGCTCTCTTCTCTCTAGGTTTTTTGGACACTACTTATTCCTGGTCCTTCTACCTATCAGACTGCTCCTTTTCATTCTCCCTTGCTGGATTCTTGTTCAGTCGTACCCTCTAATCATAGGTATCCCATAGGGTTCCGGGCTCTCTTCTTTTCTCCTACACCACTTCACTTGGTGATTCCATTTTTCATTTAGCCACCAAAGTGATTTTCCTAAAGGGCAGGTCTGACCATGTTACTTCCCCACCTTCAGTGAACTCAAGTGGTTCCCTCCACTTGCCTCCAGGATGAAATACAAATTTGGTTTTCAAAGCCTTTTATAACCTATACCATCCAGTGCCACTGGCCTCCATGCTGTTTCACAAATAAGAAATTATCTCTTGGCTCCAGGCATTTTTCTCTGACTATCCCTCATACCTGGAATGTTCTTCTCTTCATCTTCATCTCCTGGCTTTCCTGCCTTCCTTCATTACCCAACTAAAATTCCAGCTTCTATAGGAAGTCTTTCCCAACCCTTCTTAATTCTACCATCTACCTTCCTTTTATTTTTTTTTCCTGTTTATCCTGTATCTTGCTTGTTTGTAGAATTTTAGAATTAAGTATTATAAGTTAGGGTCCTTTAATTCCTCATAATGGTATGGGAATAATTAGGCCAAGGGCTTGTGAAATCAGGATATCATTCTGTTACTTAGGTAATATCTTACCTGTCTCAGTTTGTTACACTTAATGTTAGAAGAAGAAAGGCTCGTGGTCTGTTTTGTAAATGCCTTAAAAGAAGTATCCATTTTAATTAGGGGTTATTTATTTGTACATGACCAGAAGTTAAAATTGTTTTGTTCTGTTATTAATTTCTTAGTGGAATCTCATCCTCCCAATGGGGAATATGAATAAGACTGTAAACATGACAATTGGCTGAGGTTCCAATTTTGATCTTATAATAATAGATGTAAGGGCAAGGTAATTTAAAATTCTGTTAAGATCAATCTTGGAGAGTGGACACAAGATGATTTTTACAAGAAGAC